CTCGGAGCCACAGGTCCGGGGCTGGATGTGTCCCGTCGAGGTCAGGGGTCCCCATCGCCCCACACACGCCCCACGGGGGGCAGTTTGGTGTTTAAGGGGGGCAACTCGAGAATGGAGTTATTAACTGAGTTTTTTGCATTTCTTATGGCTCTGGGGCCTCATGGACAGTTTATAAATGTATATTGGGGCGTATTTATGCACTTCGGTTCTCTGTTATGTTTTGAAACTTTACTATTTTTTCCATATCACTTTGTATTATTATTATTGTTACTATTTTTAATATATTTTATTGATTTTTTTTTATGGCGTGTTTATGCACTTCGGTTCTCTGTTATATGTTTGAAACTTTGTTTACTATTTTTTCCATATCACTTTGTGTTATTATTGTTGCTATTTTTAATATATTTTATTGATTTTTTTTTTATCCATTTTTTGAATAATATGAATTATATGCCATGGGGAGGGGGGAGTGGGTATCAGGATTTTAGAGGTGCTTAGGTGGGGCACGGCCAGACAGGTCGGGACCTCCTGGTCTGCATTCGGGCTGGCTTTTCTGGCCGCTGTGGACCCCCAGGCTGAGTGGACTCCACCCCACAGGGCCCGGTCACCTTCGAGGACGTGGCCGTGTACTTCTCCCGGGAGGAGTGGACGCTCCTCACCCCCGCCCAGAGGAGCCTGTACCGGGAGGTGATGCTGGAGAACTTCGCGCTCACCGGCTGGCTGGGTAAGGCCCTCAGGCGCCGCCCGCAAATGGGCCGCCTCTGGCTGTTCCCCACGAGGGTTCCTGTCCCTCCCAAAGCCCCCGGGGTTGGTGCCCAGGGCAGGGGCCGGGCACTGGGCGTGAGCGAGTCTCCGCCTCTCGGCCGCTCTCCGTGACCCTGCGGAAGCCATGGCCTCTCTGCACCGGGTTTTGCCTTCTTCCAACTAAAGGAATTCTCTAGGGCCCTCCCCGGGCCGGGCTTGAGCCACGGGTGCCAATCAGTAGGTCAGTTTGGGGAGTATTGCCATCTTCGTGTCTTTCAATCCATGGACATGACATGTCTTTCCATTTATTTCGCTGTTCTGTAATTTTTAAAGAATATATTTTATTGATTTTTTAACAGAGAGGAAGGGAGAGGGAGAGGGATAGCGAGTCAGACACATGGATCAGCTGCCTCTTGGACGCCCCCTACTGGGGATGTGCCCGCAACCCAGGTACATGCCCTTGACCAGAATCGATCCCGGGACCCCCCAAGACCGCAGGCCGATGCTCTATCCGCTGAGCCAAACCAGCTAGGGCTGTTGTATAATTTTTAAAAAATATATATTTTTATTGTTTTCAGAGAAGAAGGGAGAGAGACAGAGAGAGAAACGTCAATGATGAGAGAGAATCATCCACTGGCTGCCTCCTGCACGGCCCACGCTGGGGACCGAGCCTGTGACCGGGCCTGTGCCCTGACTGGGAGTCGAACTGTGACCTCCTGGTTCATAGGTCGATGCTCAACCCCTGAGCCACATTGGCTGGGCCTCAGTGAATGTTTAAATGTACGGGGTCTAAGATTCAGGTTCCTTCTGGTTGCCATGGTGACACGAGCTTCCTGGGGTGTGTGGCCGGCTGGGTCAGCCTTCACTTGGGGGTGGGGGGCTCTACACTGTCTCCTAGGATTTGTGCCTTCGGGGTCCCATGTGGTGGCCCAACTGCAGGGTGAAGGGGAGCCCTGGGTACCCATCGTGGGGGGCAAGACTCTGGTCAGCACAGCGGGAGCCGGGAGGGTCCTGGACTAGGCCTGCGGGGCCGGGGGTGCCGCATTCCCGGGGGGACCTCAGCGTGCTGGCTGCGGGGTCTGTGTGCACTGGCATTTTCCACCGTCCTTTCCCATCTCCCCCGGCCAGGCCCCGCTGACCCGCCTCTCTGCCTCTGTGCCCTGTCATTGCCCCTTCCCTGTGCTCAGCCGTCTTTTCCGGGCGCAGACGCAGCCTCTCACAGAGCTCGCTGTCACCGGCAGCTCGGGCCTGTGGCAGCCTGCTGCAGGGGCGCGATGCGGAGACCCCGCCCCCCGCATGCTCCTCGCCCCTTTCTCCCCAGAGAGTCCCCAGCCACCTCCTGGCCGTCTGTGCTCCTGTCCACGCGCGTTGCACGCACACGGGCGTGGAGGTGCCTCCTCCCTCTCTCCCAGCAGTTGGCACCCGACCTTGCTGTTTCAGGGTGTCCCCGGAGACTGAACGACGCAGAGGCCCCTCCGCAGGCGAGGAGCTGCAGGATCCACCTGTTGGAGAGGCACCCTCGGTGTGGGGAGCCTGAGGAGGACGGCCCGGCCCCGCCCGGCCACCCCCGGCACCAGGGCACCCTCGGTGAGGGGAGGCCGTACGGCAACATGGGACTCCAGGAGCCCTGGCGCCAGCAGCGGGGAGTCAGGTGCAGCGGCTGCGGGACAGCCTTCCCGGAGGCCTTTGCGCTCCTCCACCACCTGGTAACTCGCTGTGAGGAGAGACCCTTCGGGTGCCCCAAAGGCAGAGATGCCCCCCAGGAGAACGGGACCCTGGTTGGTCACAGGAAGAGCCCCACGGGAGGAACGCCCCACGTGTGCCACGAGTGCGGGAAGGCCTTCAGCTACCCGTCGAAACTGCGGAAGCACCAGAAGGTGCACACGGGCGTCAGACCTTTTGGCTGCAGCGAGTGCGGGAGAACCTTCAGCCGCAAAGACGCCCTCGTGCTGCACCAGAGGATCCACACCGGGGAGAGGCCCTACGCCTGCGGCGAGTGCGGCAGAGCCTTCAGCGTCCTGTCCACCCTCATCCGGCACCGGAGGGTTCACGTCGGAGACAGGCCGTACGAGTGCCGGGAGTGTGGGAAGTTCTTTAAGTACAGCCAGAGCTTCGTGCTCCACCAGAGAGTTCACACTGGAGAGAAGCCTTACGCGTGCACGCAGTGCGGGAAAGCCTACGTGACGCGCTCCGGCCTGTACCAGCACGGGAAGGCCCACACCGGAGAACGGCCCTACGGGTGCAGCCTGTGCGGGAAGACCTTCACCACCAGGTCCTACCGCAACCGGCACCAGCAGTTCCACACGGAGCAGCGGGCCCACAAGTGTGCGGAGTGCGGCAAAGCCTTCAAACACAGCTCCACGCTCCTGCAGCACAAGAAAGTCCACACGGGGGCAGGGTCGTAGGCGGCCGGGATGGGGGAAGGCCTTTCGCCAGAGCCGGCCCCTTGCTGAACGCGGAATGTATCTCTCCAGGGAGGAGGTTGAGGAGCCATTTGAGAGGTGAGCCAGGCACACCCCACACCCCCCGGGAGGGGGCGCGTGTGCGGGAAGCTTCCGGGAGCTGTGCTGCACGCTGACCTGCCCAGGCCGCTGCCGTCCCGCAGTCCCCATGGTGGCATCTGCCGCCCAGTGTGCTCAGGGACAGCAGACCTCCGTGCTCCCTGCTCCGGGTAGAACAGAGTCCTGAGTGTTGGAGCCCATATTGGGCGTTGCGTCCGGACTGGTTCAGGTGTGGGCATCACCCCGCTGTGGCCAACGGTCACTAAGCAGTGCCCACTGGGGCGTGCGGGGAAGGTGAACGGTCTCGTACTGTTGACACTGCTCGGGGCACCCGTCGCTCTCACTGCTCCGGAGGGCACAGCAGTGAGGCCTTGTTGGCTTGGCCGGTGTGGCTCAGGGGGTTGGACATCCCGTGCACCCAGAGGTTGTTGATCCGATTCTCAGTCAGGGCACGTGCCCGTTTGCGGGCTCGATCCCCAGCAAGAGAGGCAGCAGATCGATGGTTCTCTCTCATCGATGGATGTTTCTCTCCCTTTCCCTTCCCTCTCTCAAATCAATAAAACCATTTTCTTAAAGAGGTCTTGTCACCTTTAATCCTGGGGATCCTGGTCTCTGTGAGGGGATAAAGGACCAGATTGGGCTCATGAACAGAGGGAACGGCCTGCCTGATGTCCATCTGCCTGGGGGACCGGCCAGTTGGCAGGGCACAGCTCTGATTGGCCAGCCTGGCTCACAGGCCCCTGAGACCTGCAGGGAGACCCTGGAGGCCTGGTGGTGAATCGTGTCGCCTGGCTGTCAGGTTTCCTGGTGGATCAGGAATGGGGGAGCTGCTACAGGATGGGCCCACGTGTTCCCAGGGCCCTGGTTCCAGGGAACGCTGCTCGGTCCCCAGCCTTGGCCAGAGGAGGCTGTTCCCAGAGTTGCTCCGAAGCCGTGTCGTCTGAAATCGGACGTGGCAGTAGGTCTGATAGACTAACCACAAAACTTGCAGGGCCTGTGGGAAGAGACGGGGCACAGGGACACTGCACACGGGGTGGGGGTGGGGGGGTCTGAGCGGGCTCTCAAGGGGCTTCCACAGATGTTCTAGCAGCCGTGGTGTCCGGGGCTGCGGGTTGCAGACCCCCCCCCTCCCCCCGAAACGGCGGGCCTGTGACCTGTGGCCGGGGTCACGCTCACCACGTGTCTACAGTCTCCGGGGTTCTCCTCGCCCCGCTGGGCGTGCTCACCCCGTGGCCTCACCCCGAGACGAAGCCTGTGTGACCCAGCGGTCCTGGCGTCTGCACACCGCGGCCCTCGCTGCCTTTGCTGCCTCTGTTTCTGGGCTCCAGGGAGAGAAGTGGTCGAATCAACATGCGGATCCAGATGTCCTGGTTTGTGGGGCCTTTTGATTTAAAACGTTTTGGACATTTCACCACAAGTCGAACGTCAGTTCAACAAAACTGTACGCTGCCCGTCGCTGCGTCCCTGGCCCCGAAGTGCTTCCTGTTGGTGGGCACTGTGTTGGGAGCGTCGTCCTACTATGTGTTGGGCTGGAAACCACCGGGGCCGCCTCTCTCCGGGGTGACGCTTCTCGCCGTCCTCTGGCAGGTTGGATGGAGCCATTGAATTGATAGCGCTCCCCGGGGACGGGCTTCTCGGGCCATTTCACTGGGGACCTTCCCTCTGCTGAGACCACAGTCCATTCTCTCCCCTCGGGGTCTGCACAGAGGAGTCTCTGCCCAGGAGAAATCCCGCCAAAAGGCCTTTAAAAGCCGCTCACACCCGTCGCTGGGGGCCGGAGCCAGCCAGGCTCAGCCACCGGGCGTGTGGGTGATGGAATAAATTCGTAATCCCGCCCCACCCTGGCGTCGTGTGTTCCTCCATCGGCGACCTAACTCCCTGCTGATGGCGGGAAGGGCGATGACCACACGGGAAGAACCCCAGACGAGCTTGCATTCAGGGAGTTTTTGGTCGGTCTGCTCAATCCCCTGCCCCCCTGCACCATAAAGCGTATGACCACCTCTCAGTCTGTTCAGGCGCCTTCCCCGGGTGTGATAATCGTCTGCCTCCAACTTGGGCGTCTGTGTGAGCAGATTTAAAGTCCCGCCGAGTTGCCCGGGTGTGGGTCAGTGGTGGAGCGTAGACCCATGCACAAAGAGGTCGCCAGCCTTGCCAGTGTAGCTCAGTGGTTGAGCGTCAATCTATGAACCAGGAGGTCACGGTTCAATTCCTGGTCAGGGCACATGCCCAGGTTGCTGGCTCAATCCTCAGTGTGGGACGTATAGGAGGCAGCCGATCAATGATTCTCTCTCATCATTGATGTTTCTATCTCGCTCTCCTGGGAAATCAGTAAAAAAAAAAAAAAAGTCGCCAGTTTGATTCCCCATCAGGGCACATGCCCAGGGTTGTGGGCTCAGACCCGGTAGGGGGCATGTAGGAGACAGCTAGTGGATGTTTCTCTCTCTCCCTTCCTCTCTCTCTAAAAAAATAAAAAGAAAATTAAGGCCTGACCAGCATGGCTCAGTGGTTGAGCGTCAATCTGTGAACTAGGAGGTCACGATTCGATTCCTTGCCAGGGCACATGCCCAGGTTGCGGGCTCCATCCCCAGTGAGGGGGTGTGCAGGAAGCCGCCAATCAATGACTCTCATCATGGATACGTGTATCTCTTTCTCCCTCTCCCTTCCTCTCTGAAATCAATAAAAGCAGGTCTCCAAGCAAGTGGGGTTGGGTGACACTGGTCATAGAGCTCAGTCCCTGTGTGTGTGGGTAGGTGGCCCCTGCACCTGGGTGAAGGGCCCTCCGCACCTGCCCTGAATCTGCCTTCTGGTGTTTGGCTGAGGCTCCATACTCAGCAGCCAACCTGATGGGGGACGGGTGAAGAGTCACGTTGCCATGGTGATGCTGGGACATCCTCAGCAAAGCCAGTGGCTTGGACCCTTTGGCCCATCCAGGGTACCAGTTTGGGTGGGACTCATCCTGTTACTGAACAGGGACCGGCACCGAGCAGGTCTGCTCACCCCAACCTGTAGGGTATGGGCTCTTGATTTCGTGTAGGAAAGATTTCACCACGTGCGTTACATGAGACACACTGATCCGTTGCCTCCCGCAAGCACCCCGGAATGTGCCGGCTATTGAACCTGCAACGCAGGGAATCGAATCTGCAACCCTGGGTATGCTGGCCGACACTAGTCTAACCCCTAAGGCACACCAGCCATGGCCAATGCATTTTTTAAAAACATATTTCTTGATATTAGCGAAGGCAGAAGGATAGAGAGAAACATCAGTGATGAGAGTCATTGATCGGGAGAAGAACACGGCCAGGTCCTCGGAGGTCACGGGGCTCTGCAATGAGGAGACGGCTGAGCCAGGGGGCCAAAGGGCCAGTGGGAAACACACACAAACGCTCTGGTGGACACAGCCAGGCCCTGACCTCTCCCACTGTCCTCTCCTGTGACCCTCTCAGTCCATCCTCTCCTCACCCTCTCCTCCTCCTCAGGCCCCCACTTCAGAGGAGGTAACCGGTCCCGGCACCACTGGTGTCCCCTGCTCCTTGCAGTCACCGTATTCAGGCCCATCCAACCGAGAGCAACAAAAGGCACGCTGCCCCTCCCCCCACGGGCCAATGTCCTTTATGTCCCCCAGATACGAGAGAATTGGGGCTCTCCTTTCTTCCTCAAGTCTTGAGCCCCAGGGCCCCTTGGCTCACACCCCCTTACCTTGTACAGGGACCATACATTCCACACTCTCCTCCCGCCACCCCTTGTCCACACCTCAGGCGTCTCCCTGGAGTCCCCATATTCCGTTATGCACATAGCTGACCTGAGAAAGACTACCGGGACCCAGGACTGACCTGGCCTGCCCCAGATCTCCAAACCCCCCCCCGGCCAGAGACAGCCACCACCCCCTAATGAATGCCTTCGCTCCATGCCCAGTTGCTTCCACCTTCTGCTCTGTGGAACCTTGAGTGGATCTCAAACACTCCTGCTCCCTTCCACGTCTGCCCTTGCACATGCCCTCACCAGTCACACCTGTCCTCACTCTCCCTCTATTTTTTTACTATAAAAAAAATTGTTGTTAATCTTCACCGGAGGATATTTTTCCCGCCGATTTTTAGAGATTGGGAGGGAGAGGGAAAGGAGGAGGGGAAGAGAGAAACATGTGAGAGAGACACATCAATTGGCCGCCTTCTGCACCCCACCCAACCGGGGCCGGTTCGAACCTGCAACCCAGGTATGTATTCTTTAAATTTTTTATCTTTTAAAATATATTTTTATTGATTTGAGCCACGCCAGACGGGACAGGGGCATTTTTAATATGCTGATGCACCAACATGGGTGTATAGGGGAGCTTTGGATTATTCTTTGGCCTGTTTCATCCTAGGTCTGTCTGGCTTCATTGGAGTTTTTGTCATCGGCTCCCCAGCTTCGTCCGTCCGTGGGTTTAGCTGCCACAAGTGACGTGAATTGGGTCTTTGTTCTCTGCTTTCCCAGGTCAGGGTGAGTTAAGCTGTGTATTTCCGAGTACGGGACTTGGGTGTAAGCCATTTGCTCTCAAATGCCCTTGCGTAGGGAGGATAAGGTCTTGCAGTTCACTGGCAGGCTGTCAACCGCCCCAACTGTTTAGCCTTAATTTTCTGGTCTCGGTTTCCCCGTTCTACTTGCCCGGGAATTTCCCCAGCTTCTCGCTCTCCTGCCCCAATGCCATCATGTTAGCCAGAACCTCACCTGGCAAACCAGCAGCAGCAGCCCATGGCCACAGCTTCCGTCCTGGGCCCGTCCTCTCCCCACATTCTGTTCTAGAAGCCACACAGCAGCTCCTGGCCCCAGGACTATTTTTTTTTTGGGGGGGGGGTACCCTCAGCTTGGCATGGGTGCCTGCCCCTCCATGCCTCTCCCAGTGACACCCCTTCAACAGCAGAGCCAAGATGTCCTCTCCTCATGAGTCCCTGCACTCACTGCCCTGTGAAGAGTCATTCTCTCCCTCTGTGTCCTCCCTGCCTCGATGTCAGGCTGGATTCGAACCCTCTACCCCACTCTGTCCTTACGGACGTCTGGCCGTTTGAAATCAGGGCTGCATTGGTGCTCGTTAAAGACATACCAGCATACCAGAAGGGCTCAGGGCTTCGTTGATACGGCCAATGATGGTGTTTCTTGCCTTTTATAGTTCAGCTACAGAGGTAGAATGCTTATTTTTTCACTGGCATGTGACATGCCTGGACCCCGTGTCAGCAGGGCCAGCGTCAGTCTGTTTTCTCACAGTAAACAGATCAGTTTGGTGACAGCTGTGAGTAAACGGGCACGTCTCCATATTACTGAAGCAGGGGCAGGGCTGGAACTCAGTGCTCTGTTTGACACCTCGTCTTGTAAGACTGAACTGGTTCACGAGGGCAGACATCATTTTGCTCTGTAGATGCCCGTGAGGGGGACCTTCCTCATCTCTCTGTCGCTGTCTGCTCTGGCTGCGGTAGCAGCACCCCAGCTTGGGTGGCTTACACAACAGGAATGTCCCACATTTCTAGAGGCCGGGACGTCCAAGATCCAGGTGCTGGCTGTTTCAATCCAGGCGAGTGGATGAGCGCTCCCTTCCTTGCTTGCGGACAGCCATCACTCCGCTGTCCTCATGTGGTTTTGAGAGGAAGCTCTGATCTCTCTTCCCTTCTTATAAGGACAGTAATCCCTTCATCAGGTTCCAGCCTCTGACCTCCCCTAACCCTGTTTACCTCTCAAAGGCCCATCACGGAGGGGGCTGTGAATTTTGGGGGATGCAGACATTCGTCCATAACGTCACCTAAGGAAGCCAAGTGCTTCTTTGCGACTCTAGTATATGAAGGGCTTAGTCTTCATGGTGACCAGACAAAATGTCAGTTTTATAAAATAACACAAATTAGCGGCAGTTGTGAAGATTAACATCAGAACAACAATACTGGGACTAGTGGGAAAATTTTCAATGGACTACCACCCACCCTTGGGGAACATACATCTTCCCAAGTAGCCCCAACTGGACATCCCTCAAGGCTCCTCCCCCACACCGGCCCAGTTCGTTCCTGAACCTTCTCAGAGGCAATGGGAATGAAGCCATTCCATGGGGTCCAGGACTCTCGATTAGCTCTGGGAAAGGGGAAGGCAGGATCAGGCTGGAATTGCGGCTGAAGGTTTTCCTACATTTGTTGCACTCGTATGGCTTTTGCCTGGTGTGTACTTCCTGGTGCTGAGTGAGGATGGTGCTAGTGCTGAAGGCCTTCCCACATTTGCTGCACCCAAAGGGCCGCTATCCAGTGTGAACTTTCTGATGTCGCAGGAGGTGAGATCTTCGGCTGAAGCCTCCTCCACATTCACTACATTCATAAGGCCGCTCTCCACTGTGAACTCTCTGGTGCTGAGCAAGATTGGAGTTTTTGTTAAAAGTTCTTCCGCACTCATTGCATTCAAAAGGCCTTTCTCCGGTGTGAATTCTCCGGTGCTGAACCAGGCTGGAGCTGCGGCTGAAGGTTTTCCCACATTTGCTGCACTCATACGGCCTTTGCCTGGCGTGTATTCTCTGGTGCTGAATGAAGGTGGTGCTACTGCTAAAGGTTTTCCCACACTCAATGCACCCAAAGGGCCACTCTCCAGTGTGAACTTTCAGGTGTCGAAGGAGGTGGGAGCTTTGCCTGAAGTCTCTTCCACATTCACTACATTCAAAAGGCCACTCTCCAGTGTGAACTCTCTGGTGCTTAACAAGGTCAAAGTTGTTGTTGAAAGCTTTTCCACACTCGCTGCACTCAAAAGGCCGTTCTCCAATATGAACTTTCTCAGGCTGAGTGAGGTGTGACCTGTTATTAAAGGCTTTCCCACATGCACTGCACTCATGAGGCCGTTCTCCTGAGTGAAGTCTCTGGTGATGAATAAGTGTGCGTTTGCGGCTGAAGGTTTTCCCACGGTCACTATACTCATAGTGTTTTATTCCAGTGTGACATTTCTGGTGCTCCCTCAGCTTAGATGGGTAACTACCGGCCTCCCCACACTCTTTACACACCCGAGACGTTTCTCCAGTGTGGAATTTTTGGTCATTAACAAGGGCTGATTTCTCCTCTAAGGAATCTACAACTGTTGGACATCTAAATGGTGTCCCTTCAGAGTGAGTTCTCATGTGGCTGAGGGGCTTCTTTGTGGTATGGACTCCTGGGGCTCGCCCAAGGCGGGAACTATGTGGGAAGGCCTCCCTGCACTCTGTCCTCCTGCGTGACTTCCCGCTGCTGTGGATGGGCGGGGGCTGGCGGGGGGC